GATCACAGCTCACTGCAGCCTTGGCCTCCTGGGCTCAACGGTCTTCCCACTTCAGCCCCCCAGGTAGCTGGAATCACAGGCATGAGCCACTATAACTGGCTAATTTTTTTTTAAGAGACAGGGGTCTCACTATGTTGCCCAGGCAGGTCTCAAACTGCTGGGCTCAAGCAATCCTTCCACCTTGGCCTCCCAAAGTGTTGGGATTATAGGCATGAGATACCACATGTGGCCCAATGCTGTCTCTTAAGCAGAATTCTGGCCTGGCACTTGCCAGCCCCACTCCCCAGGCTCCAGCCAAGACCCAGGTATGCCTCCAGCTGGCCACATAGGGACTGGGGCGCAGCCCTGTACTAATGTCAGTGCTGGGGCATGGTGAGGGTCTGGGAGGCGGGCCAGGGCTGGGAGCCTGGCCGTGTTGTGGTCTGGTGGTCACAGAGGAACAGACAGAGCCTGACCAGGACTCGCCCTCGGCACACTGAGAGTCAGCTTGCTCCCAGGCCTTGGGGTGGCAACTTCAGCTCCCACCCCAGGGGATGGTCCTGGCCAAGGCAGGACACTAGCTCCTGGGGCTTGTCCTGTGTCATCACAGAGGGGCCTCGGGAAGTGGGACCAGGCAGAGGTGAGGAGCTCTGGCTGCCCACCTAGTCAGCCTTGCTGCTCTGAGACCCTGTGGTGATTCTGGGTCTGCTCTGGGGGTTCCCTGGTCTCCTAGGAGGTCTGGGGGCTTCATCGCCTTCCACTGCTGCTTACCTCCTCCAAAAGGCGATATGTCCTGGCTCAGGATATCTCTTTCTTGGGCATTCGCGGGTAACAGGGCCTGGAAGCCCACCCTCCTTGGGTAGGGAAGCTCAGCATGGCCCTTCCCCCTGCAGGCTCCCCTGCATCTGCACGCTCCTCTGCACCCACACACCCAGCTGGTAGGGACTGAGGCCCTGCAGTCTGGCTGGGGTAGCATAGTGCACGCCAACAAACCCCAGGAGCCACACAGTCCAGGCCCAAAGAACAGAGGGGACTCAAGAAGGCATCCAAGGGAGAGCAGATCTGGCCCCTGTCATCTCCCTTCGGGCTGTGCAGCCCCAGTCTGAAGCCACCGCCTTGCAAAACCCCTTCTCTGGGCCTCCCTTACTGGCCTTACTAACTAGAAGCCAGTCCCCCCACCTAAGTCAGCCCACTAGACCCTAACTCCAGCATCTGGAAAGCCCACCGTAGACACGAGGGCACATTCTGGAGGGGAAGGACTTGTAGTTTGGAGGCCAACAAACGTGGATGTGAGTCCTGGCTTTGTTCTCATTCCGTGTGTGCTCAGGCAAGGTACTGCTCCTCTCTGATTCTAATTTCCTCATCTGTAAGGTGGAGTCCTCTCGAAACCCCAGAGGACCTCCCAGAGGCCTGCGGGGAAGGCAGAGTGTGAGTAAGCTTTGGCTCAGAGGAGAGCTCAGTAGGTCATCAGGCGAGGCCCGGACCTCACCCCTACCTGCAACGCCAGCGCCTGCCTTGTTTCCTGGGGCCCTGGTCAAGGTCTGCAGAGTGGGAAGGTCTGCCAGCTCGGGGGCAGCAGGGAGGGGCAACCTCACCTGAAGAGAGGCTCTAGTGGGCAATGATGCCCCCAAGTATGGGAGGTCTGGGGCTGATGGGAAGGGAGGCAGGCCGGCTAGGGCAGGGAAAGAAGGCCATGTGGACCCCATTATTTCCAAGAACCAGAGCTGGCATTCCCCTGCCAAATTCCTTCCTGTTCTTGCAAAAGCTTTCCCAGAGCCTGGGCAAGCTGGACTGGAAACTGAGGTGGAGGGTGGGTGGGGGCGTGGGAATGGAATTGGGGTGTGACTAAAACTTGGGAGGTGGGCCTATAGACAGACTGGGGAAGAGTTTGAACACTGCCTCTCTGACGTCCCTAGAAAGGACACAGACTTATATGACACTCAAGCTGCCATTCAGAGCCTCCCAGGGGTCCACCCACCAATTCTTTTGGGCAACTACAGGCCCAGAAGTTATTTACTTATGTAATAAATTTATGTCCTTTGGGCCTGGATTGTGGCTCCTGGGGTTCTGTTGCCCAGCCTGGAGTGTGGTGCTCAATCAGCTCACTACAACCTGGGACTCCTGGGCTCAAGCCATCCTCCTGCCTCACACTACAACTACAACATCTGGCTAATTTAAAAATTTTTTTGTAGAGACGGAAATTTGTTATGTTGCCCAGGCTGATCTTAAATTCCTGGCCTCAAGCAATCCTCCTGCCTTGGCTTCCCTAAGTGCTAGGGTTACAGGCGTGGGCAACTGTGCCCAGCCCAGAAGTTATTTTAAGGTGGAAGAGACTCATGCCAAAATAATTATGCCTGGGCAGCAAGAGGGAAACTCCTGGCCAGGTGTGGTGGCTCACACCTGTAATCCCAGCACTTTGGGAGGTCGAGGCTGGTGGATCACCTGAGGTCAGGAGTTCAAGACCAGCCTGATCAACATGGTGAAATCCCGTCTCTACTAAAAATACAAAAAATTAGCTGGGTGTAGTGGTGGGCGCCTGTAATCCCAGCTATTCAGGAGGCTTGAACCCGGGAGGTGGAGGTTGCAGTGAGTTGAGGTTGCAGTGAGTCAAGATTGCACCAGTGAGTCCAGGCTGGGTGACAAGAGCAAGACTCCATCCAAAAAAATAAAATAAAATAAAAAAGAAAAAGAAAATGCTTTTCATGTACCCATCAGCAGCCAGCAGTCTGACTGAGGAACTGGAGCTGGTAGGATGTCATAACGGGGCAGGGAAGACTCTGGGATATGTATTGAAATCCAGGTGTTGGCTGGGCACAGGGGCTCACACCTGTAATCCCAGTGTTTTGGAAGGTCGAGCCAGGAAGATCATTTAAGGCCAGGAGTTTGAGGCCAGTCTGGGCAACATGGTGAGACCCTTTTCCTACAAAAACTAAAAAAATTATCTAGGTATGGTGACGCTTGCCTGTTATCCCAGCTACTTGGGAGGCTGAGGTGGGAGGATCGTTTGAGCACAGGAGTTTGAGGCTGCAGTAAGCTACAATTGTGCCACTGCACACCAGCATGGGCAACAGAGTGGACCCTGTCTCTAAAACAAGAACAAAAACAAACCCAGGTGTTTTAAAGAAGTGGTACATTGATCCTCAAAGAAAGAAATGTTTACTCCCAAGCTGAAAACCTCTGGGTGCTTTTCACATTTTGAAGCCCGAGTGGGTGGGTCACTTCTTTTCTCTGTGACAACAGCCCGACTGATGCCCTGGTCCAGATGTCCCCCCACACCCCAGCCTGTCTTGCTGTGCCTTGGTGGGTGCTCTTTTGGAGCTGTGCTGAGCTCCCCCAAAGCTGGCTTCCCCAAGCCAGGAAGGGAGGGAGGACCCAGCACTGGGACTAGGAGCTGGCATCCAGTGCTCTGAGGGGCAGGGCTGGAACTGGTGAGGGTCAGGTCTGGGTCACACTCGTGGCCCTCCTGGATTCTGATGTCTTGTGCAGGGGCCAGAACTGGACAGCAGAGAGCAGAAGACCCCTCCTACCCCAAGTCCGAGATATTAGTCAGGGGCTAAGGTCTGGTCTAGGCCGGATCCCCTGGTGCCCCAGGACTTCTTCCATTCCAGGTCCCTGCCATTGGCATGTACCCTTCTGGCCAGGTTGGACAATGTCTGTGGGGGCCTGAGTATGGCTTTGGCACCTGAAGGCTCTGGGTTCAAGTTCAGCAGCCGCCATTCCCATACTCTATGTTGCACTCACTCACTCACTCAGCAAACATCCCGTGACTTCAGGTGCTGCCCCATCCTGGTGTGGATGATATAGTGGGGTTAGGCTGATTCCCACTTTCAGAGAGCTCCTCTGAGTGGGAGACAGACACAGACACAGTGCTAGCCTCGGGTGGACTGTGCTCCAACGGATGCAGACTCCGGGCCACACGGCCCAGAGAAGGTAGGGAAGGCTTCCTGGGGCAGTGAGTCCTCCAAGAAGCTTGAAGAATGGGCTGGAACCTACCATGAAGCAAGTAGGAAAGGACTTCAGGGAGAGGGAAGAACTTGCACAATGACCCAGAGATGGGAGGCAGCCTGGTGACATTTCAAAAGCGCAGAATGCCAGTCACAGAGCACCTAACACTTTCAGGAACATTTTCATTTTTTTAGACAGAGCCTCCTCTCTCTGTCACCCAGGCTGGAGTACAGTGGCATGATCTCAGCTCACTGTAACCTCTGATTCCTGGGTTCAAGTGATTTTCCTGCCTCAGCTTCCTGAGTAGCAGGGACTACAGGCAGGCGCCACTGTGCCTGGCTAATTTTTGTATTTTTAGTAGAGACGAAGATTCACCACATTAGTCAGGCTGGTCTCGAACTCCTTATCTCAAGTGATCCACCTACCTCCACGTCCCAAAGTGCTGGGATTACAGGCATGAGCCACCATGCCCAGCCTTCAACATTTTCATAGAGTAACAAGAAGCGCCCCAGCGGTCGTAGCAGAAGCTACAGGAAGTAAAAACCATCAAATGTTGTCTTTATATGTGACCGTTTAAAGAGTTTTGGAGTCTGACTTCTTGGGTTCAAATTCCAGTTCTGTGACTTATTAGGTGCATAACCAGGGAAAAGTTACTTAAACAGGACCCCACGTATGCCTGGTTGAGGTTAAAGTCTCAGCAGGGGGAGAAGCGAGCTGTCCTGCTGGGACTCTGCCACCATTTGGGTTTGTCCCAGCCAAGAAGGTTCAGGCCTGGCCTCAGAGCTCCTCCTGGGCCTTCCTGTCCTGCTTCTGGTGCCATTGTTGAATCTTGCTGGGGAGCGTCTCTGACCAGAACTGCATGCGGGCCTCCTTAAACTTCTGACCGACCCGTGGCACTGGGTTGATCTCCAGATATTGTTCCACCCAGTTGAATCGGGGCCAAGGAGGCAAACCCTTGCTATTGGGATCCCTGGGTCGGAGGAATGAATGAGGATCAGGCTTCCTGTGCTGTCCTCCAGAGGGGCCGACCTGGGCACCCCAGGCCCAAAGCCAACTGTGCCCACTCATTCACTCACCCTGTCCGAGCGAAGTGGGTCCACTGGGCCATCATGGTGAGGCTTAGCTGCTTCTCCTCCTCTGTGGCCTCTGGAAAGGCTGGAAAGGTGACAGGGGCAGAACTGAATGAGAGTCAGGTGGGACCTGGAGGGGACCCAAGGGTTCTCAGTGCTGACTGGAGACCTCTGTTCCTGCAAGCCCTGCCCAGGCCCCTTGGCGTTTGGCAGCCTAGGGATCACATATCTGTTTATCTGTCCTCATCCAGGAGGGAGCTTTCATCTGTGAGGAAGGGACCTCCAAACACAAAAGCAGTCTCAGCCCCATGATCAGCCTTCACCCAGGCGGGCTTGATCTTCACAAAAGAACTGGGTCGATGCTGGAACTCATAGAAAAAGACAGGGCTCCCAGCATCTACAAAGAAAGGAAGGGTGGGAGTTAGGCACCCACAGCCTGATTCAACCCTGCCTTTGGCAGCACACGCTCATGATACCACCAATTTCCACGATGATGATCATGACCAAATGACTAGCTACAAACATTTACTGAGCGCTTGCTAGGAGTCAGGCACCATTCTGTGCGCTTTCTGTCATCATTTTAATTTAATGTAATATTTTTAATTTTTGAAGTGGTCTTGCTGTCGACTGGGCTGGAGTGCATTGGTGTGATCACAGCTCACTGCAGCCTCAGACTCCTGCACTCAAGTGATCTTCCCACTTCAGCTTCCCAAGTATTTGGGACTACAGGTGTGCACCACCATGCCCAGCTAATTAAAAAAAAAAAATTGTGTAAAAATTGGGGTCAATAGGTTGCCCAAGCTGGTCTTGAACTCCTGGGCTCAAGTGATCCTCTCGCTTCTCCCAAAGTACTGGGATTACAAGCATGAGCCACCCACCTCGCCTGGCTGGTGTCATCATTTATTTAATACCCATCACAATAGATTAGATGTATATTAATAGAATTACTAGATTTGATTCTATTATTATTTCCATTTTGCAAAGGAGAAAACGGAGGCACAGAGAGGGTAGGTATCTTGGCCAAGGTTATGATTTTTAAAACTTGGAACTGTTCTGGGTCTGTGTCAGGGATTAGCTACTCGGCATGGAGGAAGCAAGACTTTTATCTCGGAAGTGCTGAAAGAGGATGAAATCACTCAATTGAGTGAGTCCCTGAGAATTAGTGACAGGCCTGCTGGGTGACCCTTGATGAGCCACTGTACCTCTCTGAGCCTTGGTTTTCCTCCTCTGCAAAGTTCCCTACTGGAGACATTTCTCATTATTGTGATGCTGCATCCCAGAGATAGAGGGGTTTTGGGGTGGCAGTGGGGTGTGGGGTGCAAGACATCAGGGAAATCAGCACCTTCTCATGCCATGTCACCTGTGATGACCCAGCTCCTTCCATCAAGTGGGAGGGATTGAGCAGGTGCCCAGGGATAGGCTTACCTCGAAGGTGTCTTGAAAAACTGAAGGTGGGCACATTCAACAGCATGTCACCCATCAATTCCTGGAAGGCCTGGCGTTTGGCTTGTGGATCCAAGTCGCTGCCTAGGTATTCATCTATGATGGTGGGCATCATCTCAGGGGGCACATCCTGGGGCAGGAGGCTAGGCTTAGGCCTGCTCAGCACGCACAGCTATGGCAGACCCTCCCAAGAAGCCCAGACTCTCCAGTATAGCTTCCCTCATTTCCCAGGGCTCATGGTCCAGGGAAGAGCCAGTTGCCTCTCTGCCTCCCTGGGAGTTTGGGATAAGCTCAGGTTTGGAGTCAAGTCCTAGCTCTGCAACCACTGCTTGGCTGTGTGACCTCAAACAGGTGGCTAGACCTCTCTGAAAGTCAGTCTCTGACAGGTAGCCTATGTGAAGTCCCCAGCAAAGGGTCTGGCCTGGAAGCAGGTGCTCAGTTGAAGTTAACTGGGAAGGAAGTGAGAGCAGAAATGATGGAGGCTCCCCTCAGCTACAGAGGGCAGTGATGAGGTTGTGTAAATGGGGAGGGCTCTGGGGCTTCCAAAGAAGGGAAATGTACAAAGATTGAACAGCCCCTGGTATTGCGATCCCAGGTAGACTCTTCAAGTGCAACGTCTAGTCTCCTTCTTATAATGGCCCAGGTGAGTGGGCAGCATCATCCCCATTTATAGATGAAGAAATGGGCTTAGAGGGGATTGGATAACTGGGCCAGCGGCCAGAGCTGGGATTTGGTCCCAGGTCTATCTGGCTCCACATCTGACAGCTGAGGCGCTGGGGTCAGGCAGAACTGGCTTAAACTCTGCCTCTGTCCCTTCTCCTCCATGGCACCTCAAGCCTCAGTTTCCTCATCTACAAAATGGGGACAGTGAGAATTCCTCTGTAAAGCGTTGCAATGAGGATTGAAGGAGATGAATGCCTCTCCTAGCGCTCAGCGCAGCACAGTCCCTGGCACATAAATGTGCTCATTAATGGGCAGTTTTATCTTGACAATGACGGTGATGAAGATTTTCCTTTGAGAAACACATTGACTCATGTCTAAGGAGATTCCCGAGTGAACACAAATGTGGCCATTAGACCAAGAGGCTTGGTGGTAGCTGGTACTGTGGGTGTCAGAGGTAGGAGCAGAGACTGTGCTGTTGGATAGGACACCCACTGGCCTCCTCCCTCCAGCCTCTTATCTCACCAGACTGGTCAAGAAGGGTGTCAAGATGGCCAGCATGTCCTCCCAGCTCATCCGTTCCATTGTATCCAGGAGACTCCAGCCCTGTGTGGACACCAAGACCCTCTCAGTGCAGCCTGACCACTGCCCCATGCCCCTGCTCCCAGCCCTGGGCAGGAGAGTGTTCACAGCCCTGCACCCAGAAACTCATTATGGAGCCAAATGTGGCTGAACCCACAAGTCCACACACCCAAAAAGATAAACCTGAAATTGGTGGGAGATGGGTATGGGTGGGGAGAGCAGCCCAAATACAACAGGCAAGTGGTTAATGGCAGTATTGTAGAGAACAAAATAATTTGTTCAACATTTTTTTTTTTTTTTTTTTGAGACGGAGTCTCACTCTGTTGCCGAAGCTGGAGTGCAGTGGCGCGATCTCGGCTCACTGCAACCTCTACTTCCCAGGTTCAAGTGATTCTGCTGCCTCAGCCTCCTGAGTAGCTGGGACTACGTACGTACTAGTAGTAGACGGATGCTATGCTCCACTAATTTTTGTATTTTTAATAAAGGTGGGGTTTCGCCATGTAGGCTAGGCTGGTCTCAAGTTCCTGGACTTCAAGTGATCCGCCCACCTTGGCCTCCCAAAGTGCTGGGATTACAGGCTGAGTCACTACACCCAGCTAATTTTTTTATATTTTATTAGAGATGAGGTTTTACCATGTTGGCCAGGATGGTCTCTAACTCCAGACCTCCTTATCCGCCCACCTTGTATTCCCAAAGTGCTGAGATTATAGGTGTGAGCCACCATGCCTGGCCCTAAAGTTACTTTGTTACTAGGCTCTTTGTTAATTTGTGAGAACCAGAACAGAAATTCACAGATGGATAAACAGAAAGTATACACAAAAGGGGATGTTAATTTTCACTAGGAATTAAAGAAATACACAGAAAATTGGCTGGGCCTAGTGACTCATGGCTATAATCTCAGCACTTTGGGAGACAGAGGTGGGAAGATTACTTGAGCCCAGGAATTCAAGACCGGCTTGCACAACATAACAAGACTCCATTTCTAAAAAAAATAAAGAAAGAAAGTTGGGTGTAGTGGCATGCCTACTGAGCAGTCTTGGCTACTCTCTGGAGTAGAAGGATAGGTTGGGCCCAGGAGTGAGAGGGCTGCAGTGAGCTGTGATTGAGCCACTGCACTCCAGCTTGGGCAACAGAGCTAGAACTTGTCTCAAATAAAAATGCTCAATATATTTATTTATTATTAATTTTTTTGAGATGGAGTCTTGCTCTTATTGCCCAGGCTGGAGTGCAGTAGCACGATCTTGGCTCACTGCAATCTCCACCTCCCAGGTTCAAACAATTCTCCTGCCTCAGCCTCCCAAGTAGCTGGGATTACAGGCACCCGCCACCACCCTTGGCGAATGTTTTTTTTTGGTAGAAATGTCGCTATGTTGCCTGGGCTGATGTTGAATTCCTGGACTCAAGCGACCCATCTGCTTTGGCCTCCCAAAGTGTTGGGATTACAGGCGTGAGCTACTCTGCCTGGCTTACATATTTTACCTTATTTATTTATTTACTAATAAATAAATAAACACATTTGATTGATTGATTGATACAGGGTCTGGCTCTGCTGCCCAGGCTAGAGTGCAGTGCTGAGATCTTGGCTCACTGCAAACTCCGTCTCCCAGTTTCAAGCAATCCTCCTGCCTCAGCTTCCTGAATAGCTGGGATTACAGGTGCCACCACGCCTGGTTAAATTTTGCACTTTTAATAGAGATGGGGTTTTGCCATGTTGGCCAGGCTGGTCTCAAACTCTTGACTTCAGGTAATCCACAGAATGCTACGATTGCAGGCATGAGCCACCGTGCCCAGCCTGAATCACCCACTTCTAAGAAACATACTCAGCAACAAGTCCTGGGCACAGCCTTCCATGCCAGGCAGATTTCCCAGGTCCTGGGGGCCAGGCAGATTTCCCAGGTCCTGGGGGCCAGCCAGGTTGGGGTTCCTTTGGTTTCAGCTGTAAGTTGATGGCGTGAAGTCAAGGCTGCCTGCCAGAGTCTAGGGCATTGACCTGAAAACTTCTACAAGCTTTTTCTTTTCGATTTCTTTTCTTGATGGAGTTTCACTCTTTGTTGCCCAGGCTGGAGTGCAGTGGTGCAATCTCAGCTCACCATAACCTCCACCTCCTGGGTTCAAGTGATTATCCTGCCTCAGCCTCCCGACTAGCTGGGATTACAGGCATGTGCCACCATGCCCAGCTAATTTTGTATTTTTAGTAGAAATGGGGTTTCTCCATGTTTGTCAGACTGGTCTCAAACTCCTGACCTCAGGTGATCTGCCCACCTTGGCCTCCCAAAGTGCTGGGATTACAGGCGTGAGCCACCGCAACAGGCCAATTTTTTTTTTTTTTTTTTGAGACAGTGTCTCACTCTGTTGCCCAGGCTGGAGTACAGTAGCATAATCTCGGCCCACTGCAGCCTCTGCCTCCAGGGTTCAAGTGATTCTCGCGCCTCAGCCTCCTGAGTAGCTGGGATAGTAGGTATGTACCACTATGCCCAGCTAATTTTTGTATTTTTAGTAGAGATGGGGTTTCACCCACCTCAGCCTCCCAAAGGGCTGGGATTACAGGTGTGAGCCACTATACCCGGCTCAAGCTTTGTCTTTGAGTGTCAAGATTGCATGAGCCTCTCTCTCACATACAAAGGGACCAGTGTGAGGGGACTGATTCCAAAGGGCCAAGTCAGAGGACAAAAGTGTGGATGTGAAGATATTCACTGCACTATTAGCCTTAGTGGTAAAAACTAGAAGTTTCCAGGGCTGGGCGCCGTGGCTCATGCCTATAATCCCAGCACTTTGGGAAGGCAAGGCTGGTGGATCACCCGTGGTCAGGAATTTGAGACCAGCCTGATCAACATGGAGAAACCCTGTCTCTACTAAAAAAAATACACGGTGGGCATTGTGGCACATGCCTGTAATCCCAGCATGTTGGGAGGCCCAGGCGGGCAGATCATGAGGTCTGGAGTTAGAGACCAGCCTGGCCAACATGGTGAAATCTTGTCTTTACTAAAAATACAAACAATTAGCTGGGCATTGTGGTGTGTGCCTGCAATCCCAGCTACTCAGGAGGCTGAGGCAGGAATCAGTTGAACCCGGGAGGTGGAGGTTGCAGTGAGTCGAGATTGTGCCACTGCACTCCACCCTGGGTGACAAGAGTAAAACCCCTTCTCAAAAAAAAAAAAAAAAAAAAAGAAATTGCCCAAATGCCAAGATGAAGGAACAATGTAACGACACCTTCCATTTGTGGAAGGTTCACAGCCATTAGAAGTGATTGCTTGGCTGGTGCAGTGACGCATGCCTGTAATCCCAGCACTTTGAGAGGTCCAGATAGGAGGATTGCTTGAGGCCAGGTGCTCTAGATCAGCATGGGTAATAGAGGGAGATCTGTCTCTACAGAAAAAAAAAAAAAAAATTAGCAGAGTGTGGTGGCACAGACCTGAGGTCCCAGTTACTCACGAAACTGGGAGGATCGCTTGGGCCTGAGAGGCCGAGGCAGTAGTGAGTTCTGATTGTGCTACTGCACTCCAGCCTGGGCGATGGATCGAGACTTTGTCTCAAAAAAAAAAAAAAAAGTGATTGCTTTGTCTTGGGGTATCCACCCAATGCGGCAAGTTGGAGAAAAAAAAAAAAGAAGAAAAGTGAAAAAATGATTGCTGTGAAGATGGGTAGAAGAATAAGAATGACATAAACAAGATGCTTGGGATGAAAGCACAGTGCTGACACTCTTTCTTGTGGGACATTCTATGTACCTGGAAAGGACTGGAAGGCACTTCGCTCATGAGGTCCCCATGGCTTGATAGCTAAAACCTGAGAGTCTTAGTCAATCACTGTGGCACAAAGTCATGGTAACCAGTCTCATAGAGCTTGATGTATAAACTGGACGCAAAAGCAAGAATATGCTGCCCAAATCAGCACTGCCCAGGAGGCCAGTTTGTGCAGAAGCCTGGTTCCCTAAAAGGAAACATTTGCTAGGGTGGGAGGTACTGGCTGGGGTAGGGCCTTGAAGGGCACAGATGCCAGAGGACACTCACCCTGGGGATGAGCCAGCTGAACTCATGGTTGTTGACACCCATGAGGAAGGGCACCAAGTGGAAGTGCTTCTCCTTCAGGAGCTCCTTGGGGCTTTTGGGGAAGACAGTGCCATCGACGGTCAAAGGATAGATAGTAGTTTTCTGCGGGAGAAAGCAATGCAGAAGGCTCCCACATTAGGGCCAAGCCTCAAAGTATAGGACCCTAAGAACCACTGAGCCGCAGGACTGAGTGGCTGAGCCTGGAGGGAAAGTGAAGGGATGGAGATCACCAGGACTAAGGGGATTGGGGAAGCGGGAGATCAGGGCAACACATGCTTCCAGTTTCTTTCCTAGAAGACAGGCCTGCTGTGGGGATGGGGATGGCCCTCCATTTCTGTCCCCAACCCCTCAGCCCCTTCCCCTCATGAGTGGCTGTCCCAGCCTCACCTGGGAGAAGACTGCCCCTCTGTTCCAGCGGGGGATGGACAGAACCCCTCTGTGCCATTGCCCGGCACCATACCCAAAAAGGTGGCCATACCAGCTTCTTGCTAAGGGCTAGCTCTTCTCCTTCCTTCTGCCGAAGGCACTGCACCATCTCAGCCGAGGAGCTGGAGCTGCAGGCCATGGAGTTTGCAATGTTCTGGGGACAGATAAAAGAGTCATGCCGCCCCCCCAGCCACTCAGCCCCAGCTTGCAGCCCTCTGCCTCCCACAGAGAGAGGGTGCATCTGTAGGACAGCTGAGTGTGATGTCACAGATCGGCCCCGAGGCTGGTCAAAGACTTGCCACCACCCCTAAGAAGCCCGCCCTGCCCTTCAGCTTGGGTGGTCTCAAGGACCCCTGTGTGTTCTTTATTATACCATAGTGTTATTATCTGGGGGGAATGGGGTGCTGAGTACTTATTACCCTGTAAGAATACTGTCATTATCTATTTTATTTTTGAAGACAATCTTGCTCTGTCCCCCAGGCTGGAGTGAAGTGGTGTGATCTTGGCCATTGCAACCTCTGCCTCTCAGGTTCAAGTGATTCTCCTGCCTCAGCCTTCCAAGTAGCTGGGATTACAGGCATGTGCTACCACTCCTGGCTAATTTTTTGTATTTTTAGTAGAGACAGGGTTTCGCCATGTTGGCCAGGCTGGTCTTGAACTCCAGACCTCAGGTGATCCACCCACCTCGGCCTCTAAAAGTGCTGGGATTGCAGGCATGAGTCCCTGTCCATGGCCTATAGTGTTATCATCTAGTAATACCTAACTATATTAGTGCCTGCTATATTAATACTGACTATATTAACAGTTAGGTATCTATTAATACTTAACTATTTTTCTGTCTCCCTCTGTCGCCAGGCTGGAGTGCAGTGGTACCATCTTGGCTCACTGCAACCCTCACGTCCTGGCTGTTCAAGCAATTCTCCTGCCTCAGCCTCCCAAGCAGCTGGGACTACAGGCATATACCACCACGCCCAGCTAATTTTTGTATTTTTAGTAGACACAGGGTTTCACCATGTTGGCCAGGATGGTCTCGATCTCTTGACCTCGTAATCCACCCGTCTTGGCCTCCCAAAGTGCTGGGATTATAGGTGTGAGCCACAGCGGCCGGCCATACCTAACTATTAATACCCACAGCCACAGGTCTGTAGAGTCTGTGGAGTAAAATGGAAATGAGACAGGGTTTAGTGAGGAAGGTGTTGCAGCATTTGCTGAAGTCCGACAGGGAAGGGTGAAGGAAGCTGAGGCTGGAGCAGGGCCAGGGAATGAGTAGGAAGTGAGGCTGGAGGGATAGCTTCAGGACAGCTCACAGGCTGAAAAGCCAAGCCAGGACATGTGAACATTAGCAGGATCACTAATATTCTTTCAGGAAGAGAATGGCTGAGCTGGGTTTTTCTTTGGACAGAGGGGAGACGAGGAATGACCTCAAGTCTGTGATCGAGAAAATCTCTCTTGGCCACGGGGAGGGGATGGGTTGGGGAGGCTGAGAGGTGGATGCTGTTGTCTATACAAGAGTCAACATGCCTGGCCGAGGGCGGTGCCTTACGCTTGTAATCCCAGCATTTTGGGAGGCTGAGGCAGGCAAATCACCAGATCAGGAATTTGAGACCAGCCTGGCCAACATGGTGAAACCTCGTCTCTACTAAAAATACAAAAATTAGTCAGGCTTGGTGGCCAGCACCTGTCATCCCAGCTACTCGGGAGGCTGAGGCAGAAGAATCGCTTGAACCCGGGAGGCGGAGGTTGCAGTGAGCTGATTTTGCGCCACTGCACTCCAGCCTTGGACAGTCGTGAGATTCCATCTCAAAAAAAATGTCAACATGCCCATGTTGAGGTTCCAGAATCATCTTGTACCCAGTGGTTAAGATGCCTAGCCCACTCTGCCTTGGCTGCCATCTGGGGCCATGTGAGGGCACTGACCCACCCTTCCAAATCCTGCTCACATTACCCCCCTCTCCCCTCCATGGCTCTATCCCTGTTCTATCCTGTCCTCTGCCCTGGACTCTGCCCTGGCCATTTCACTGGCCTCTTGGTCTTCAGGATGACTCTCTCCAACCCATCTTCTACTCCAAGTAGCTCAACCTTGCCTTGCTCAGCTTGTTTCTGGCCTCTGGATAGAGTCCAGATTCCCAGCCTGGCCCCCACTTCTCCAGCGCCTTCAGTTCCTGCTCCATCCCCTGACCTGAGAGCTTGCTGCTGCAGGACCTGGCACTCTTTCCCACATCTGCAGCCTTTGCAGGTGCAGTTCCCGCTGTGGCTTCCCTGGCTTCTCTTCACAAAGCATTACAGTGAGGATCTAGGGTGGGGATTCAGAGCCTGAATGGAGACCTCTCAGGCAGCAGGTGGCTGGGAATGGAGACCCCCTCCACCATGGTGCCTGGGGCAGAGAGGGGTGCTCCTGAAGACCCCACCTGGAGAAAGGGCCAATGATGATATGCTTCAGGGTGGCCTCCTTCAGGAAGCCCTCCCTGACTGTCCATATGCTGGAATGCAGCAGTTGTTTCCTCTGATCTTCCTTTATCCTAGTGGGCTTGTATTTGCTAACAGAGAGCTCCCTGTCAGCAACCCCCACCACTCTGAGACCCCAGGGCCAGCACAGAGTGGGGTATGGGAGGCACACATAGAGTAAGAGAGGGAAGGAAATGCAGACCTGAGCCAGGGGCCAGGGGTGAGACGTCATTATCCCTGGGATGGTGACGACCCCACTCTGTGTGATGACTCTGTGGAACAGCCCCGAAGCCACTGGGGACAGGACCTGAGTGCAGTGGAGAAAGCAGGTGGCTGTCAGAGGAGGGCAGAGGAGCTGGGAGGTCTGAGGGCACAGGAACCCTCCTGGCCACATTGCTAGGTCCCTATCATGACTCACCAGGCCAGAGGCAATGCTTCCACCAGCGGATCCACCAAAGACGGTAACACAGTTGAGGTCACCCCCGAAGGGGGTGATGTTTCCCTGCACCCAGCGCAGAGCAGCTACCACATCTAGGAAGCCCTGGTTGCCAGGTGCATGCTCATCCCCGGTGCTGGGGGCAGGGTGGGGCAAAGGTTAGTTCAGCCTGGCTCCTCGCCAGCCTCTGTAGGTTTGCTTGGAATCAGCCACCAGGATGCCAGGCCCTCCTCTGCGCCCCAGGTCTGGCCTGACTGGGAGCCATGCTTGGCATCTATATGCCCAGTGTGTGGTTTAGGCAGGTGTGGCTGAGTGGCCAGCCAGGGTTGGTTCTCATGGCTGCCAGAGCCTGTTGCTCTTTGTCCCATATCCTGCTGGAACCTGGGCTCCAGCCTAGAAATCAATGCCCTCTGCCCAAGGGACCACATTCGCTGTATACTTCTGGCTTTGGCTGGACCCCTCTCCCGGGGTGGAGGCTTGGGGAGTGCCCTTCTCTGCCCCAGACAGCATGGGTAAGGAGTCCTCTATTTAGGATCTGGACCCCAGCCTAGATCCCCAGTTGCTCTGGTGAGCTGGCTTCTCCCTGGTGCAGGGAGTGCTCTGGCCAGCCCTGCCATCTCACCTGAAGAAGCCAAGGATCCCGAGGCGGTACTGGACAGTAACCACGACCACATCCCCATAGGCAGCCAGGGCCGATCCATCGTAGGAGGTGGCAGCGCCAGTCGCCAGAGAGCCTCCATGGAACCATACCATGACCTGCAGAGGTGGCCATGGGGCAGTGACCCCCAAGCTTCTGGGACATCAGCTACCCACCTGCCAGCCCAGGGCATTCTCAGGACCTCTAGGGTAGTTTGGAAACTGGGACGGGGAGGGGACGGGGGGGGCAGAGTGGAGCTGGATCGGGTGGACAGGGCCCTCTGGGTAGCCCACCGGCCTCCCGGCCCCTGTGGTGGCCTCAGCTGGGCTGTAGATGTTGAGGACCAGGCAGTCCTCCGAAACAGAGAAGATCTGATGTTTTCCGTTGAGCATAAATCTGTTGTTGTTCATTCTCTCCACATCTTGCAGGCACCTGTGGCCAAGGACAGGCCTGAGGTCCAGCTGTTCAGCCCCACAAGCCCCAGCTGCAGGATTCCTCACAGCCTGGCTGTTTGCCACCTCCACCACCACTACTCACATTGGGGGTGCAGTGCTGGCGTCCCGCACACCCTCCCAGGGCTCTGCTGGGTGTGGGGCTAAGAACCGGTCAGGGCCCAGTGGCGTCCGGGCAAATGGAATTCCCAGGAAGACATTCACAAGGCGGTCTATGCCCTTCACGCCCACCTGCCGGCCTCGAACACGGCCCAGGGTGGTATCTACTTCAGGCTGAGCAACTTCGGGCCCTGAGGGAAGGACAGAAGGGTCATGGGGTGAGTTTGCAGCCTCCATGAGGGGAAGGAGTGAAAGACAGACACTCAGGCTGTTCTCAGTACTTACCGCACAGCACCTTGGTAACCTTGCCAGCAAGCTGCTGAGCCTAGTCTTAGGTTGACTCCCAACTTCCTCTTTTCTGCCTGCCCAAGAGGCACCACCACTCCACTCCAGGCCAGATCGGGCCTGCCACTGGGGCCTTGAGCCTCGGGGCCAGCCACTTCCCATTTGCTTTTTTTTTTCTTTTTCTTTTTCTTTTTTTTTTTTTTTTGGAGACAGGGTCTAGCTTTGTTGCCCAAGCTGGAGTGCAGCGGCACAATCTCAGCTCACTGCAACCTCTGACTCCTGGGTTCAAGTGATTCTAGAGTCTCAGCCTCTCAAGTAGCTGGGATCATAGGCGCACACTACAATGCCTGGGTAATTTTTGTATTTTTAGTAGAGATGGAGTTTCACCATGTTGTCCAGTCTGGTCTTGAACTCCTGACCTCAAGTAATCCACCACCTGGCCCTCCCAAAGTCCTGGGATTATAGGCATGAACTATCATGCCTGGCCCGGAATTATTTTTCTAAAAATAGAGAGGAGGTCTCACTATGTTGCGCAGACTGGTGTCACGCCTAGGCTCAAGCAATCTTCCCACCTTGGCCTCCCCAAGTGCTGGGATTATAGGCATGAGCCATCAAGCCTGGCCCGGAATTAATTTTCTAAAAATAGAGAGGGGGTCTCACTATGTTGCGCAGACTGGTCTCAAATGTCTAGGCTCAAGCAATCCTCCCACCTTAGCCTCCCCAAGTGCTGGGATTACAGGCGTGTGCCATCATGCCCAGCCGGCACCATGTTTCTTGTGTGACCTGTAGAACTGTGGGCCAAATAAACCTCTTTTCTTTGTGAATTGTCCAGCTTCATGTATTCTTTTACAACAACACAAACAGACTAAGACCAGAGGACCTCCTCTCCCAGGGCTAGACAATGCCTAGACATAGGAGGCAGCTCTCTGGGGAGTTGGAATTGGCAGGCAGCTCTCTAGGGAGCAAATGCAAAACAGTCCAGAGCCATCCCCCAACCACCTCCTGTATACAGCTCTCAGCTCCTGGCTACCATCCTCCGGCCCTAATCACCCTACAGCCAGGGACCAGGAAGCTGGGGACAGCCCCTTTGCCTCAGAGCCTACTTCCAATCCTAAACCTGTTTAGCCTGCCTTGCCTATTCCTTCCTGCGGAAATCATGGCAAAGGGGCTTGCCCATATTTTCCCCCTGCTCCCTGTGCCTCCTGGCCAATGCCACCTGGTGCTTCCCTCTGTGGCCCTGTGTGGCATGGCCTGCTTCCTGTTGACAGGGAACTGTGAGCAAACTCCTTCCCTGGTGATAGTCATCTGCATATCTACTTGTCTTACTACACTTGATTAAAACAAATCTCAGGCCCCCTTAAAACATAAAGACAGGCTGGGCAAGGTGGCTCATGCCTGCAATCCCAGCACTTTGGGAGGCCAAGGTGGGTGGATCAGCTGAGATCAGGCATTTGAGACCAGCCTGGCCAGATGGTGAAATCCCATCTCTACTAAAAATACAAAAATTAGCTGGGCATGGTGACAGGCGCCTGTCTTCCCAGCTACTCAGGAGGTTGAGTCAGGAGAATTGCTGGAACCCAGGATGCAGGGGTTGCAGGGAGCCGAGATTGCATCATTGCACTCCAGCCTGGGTGACAAGAGTGAAACTCTGTCTCAAAAAAAAAAAAAAAAGATAGCAAGAGCAAATCCCCTGCCCAGAGAGAATGCATAACCCCTGGTCTGTCTCCAAACAGGACTCTTTCCTGAGCGGGCTGCCCACTGCTCCCTGTCTCTGTCTCACTCTTGACTCCTCCACACCAAGTCCCCCTGTAGGCCCAGCAGGTGTGTCTTACCATGGGCTGTGGCAAGGCATGCCAGGAGCAGACAGGCCACCCCGACCAGGACCCCAGACTCCACTCTCACTGTTGTCTCCATTCTTACAACTGGTTGGACAGACGCTTCAGAAGGTGGAGTGAGGTCCCTGCACTTTGGCACCAACAGTCTCTAAAGGGCGGAGTTGTAAACCTCCATGGGTAGCCCCGCCTAGTTGGTGGCCAGTCCCTGGACCCAATGCCTTATCCTCAGGCTGAGTCAGAGGCAGGGTTATATGAGTGCCCAGCAGAGACCTGGATGATGATAGCCCTCCCCCATCCACTGTTTTCAAATTCCAGCTCTCCTGACTTGATCTCCATGAAATCCTGTGCGTTCATTCCAAGATGCCCACATCACTGACCCAAGGAAGTGGTGGCCAGTGACCCTGGGGTGCCATTTTGAGTGGACAATCCGGCCTGGCGTGAGGGCTTCATATGGTTTGGATGTTTTGTCCCCTCCAAATCTCATGTTAAAATGTGACTTTCAGGCCAAGCGTGGTGGCTCACACTTGTAATCTCAGCACTTTGGGAGGTCAAGACGGGTGTATCACTGAAGGTTGGGAGTTCGAGACCAGTCTGGTCAACATGGTGAAACCCGTGTCTACTATAAATACAAAAAATTTAGCTGGGCGTGGTGGTGGGTGCATGTAATCTCAGCTACTCAGGAGGCTGAGATGAGAATTGCTCGAACCTGGGAGGCGGAAGTTGCAGTGAGCTGAGATCACGCCACTGCATTCCAGCCTGGGCAACAGAACCAGACACAAAAAGCAATGTGACCTTCAGTGTTGGAGGTGGGTCTAGTGGGAGGGAATTAGATCATGGGAGTGGATCTCTCATGAATGACTTCTTGCTGTCCTCCTGGTAATGAGTAAGTTCTCACTCTATAAATTCACTTAAGATCATGTTGTTTATATTTTATTTTATTTATTTTGGAGACAGTTTTGCTCTCGTTGCCCAAGCTGGAGGGCAGTGGTGCAATCTCAGCTGACTGCAACCTTTGTTTCCTGGGTTCAAGCGATTCTTTTGCCTCAGCTGCCTGAGTAGCTGGGATTACAGGCACCTGCCTTCATGCCCAGCTAATTTTTGTATTTTTAGTAGAGATGGAGTTTCACCATGTTGGCCAGGTTGCTCTCAAACACCTGACCTCAGGTGATCCACCTGCCTCGGCCTCCCAAAGTACTGGATTACAGGCGTGAGCCGCTGCACCCAGCTGAAGATCTGGTTGTTTAAAAGAGCCGGGCAGGGGGTGCAGTGGCTCACACTTGTAATCCCAGCACTTTGGGAGGCTGAGGCGGGCAGATCACGAAGTCAGGAGATCGAGACCATCCTGACCAATATGGTGAAACACCATCTCTATTAAAAATACAAAAATTATCTGGGTGTGGTGCCATGTGCCGTAGTCCCAGCTACTCAGGAGGCTGAGGCAGGAGATTGCTTGAACCCAGGAGGCAGAGGTTGCGCTGAGCCAAGATCATGCCACTGCACTCCAGCCTGGCAACAGAGCAAGACTCCGACTCAAAAGAAAAAAAAAAAAAAAAAAAAAGAGCCTGTCAGTCTGGGTGCAGTGGCTCATGTCTGAAATCCCAGCACTTTGGGAGGCCAAGGTGGGTGGGCAGATCACTTGAGCCTAGGATTTCCAGACAAACCCAGGCAACATGGTAAAACTCTATCTCTACAAAAGATACAGAAATTAGCTGGGCATGGTGGTACACGCCTGTAGTCCCAGCTATTTGGGAGGCTGAGGCAGGAGGATCAATTGAGGCCAGGGAGTCAAGGCTGCAGTGAGCTGTGATGGCCTGGGCAACAGGGCAAGACCCTGCCTCAAAAAATGAAAGAAAAATACAAAAGAACCTGGCATTTCTCTTGCTCTCTCTCACCATGTAATGACATCTGCCACATTACAGGTATTGATCGACTTACGACCTATGCAACTTACGACCATTCGACTTTACGACCACAATCGCTAGCCACGACTGCTCCGTGTCTGGCAGCGCAAACGTTGCCCAGCTGGGCATACGACAGTGCACACCAGCTTCCGGCAGCACTACCATCTCCACGTGCACCATTTCAACTGTACATATAGCCTACTCAACTAACGACCAAATCGTGTTACAACCGGTCTGCCGGTCCCAATCGAGCACTAGCTGTATAAGCTTTCTAAGGCCTCACCAGAAGCTAAGCAGATGCTGGCAATATGCTTGTACAGCCTGCAGAACTGCGAGGCAAAGTAATCTCTTTTTTTTTTATATATATATAAACAATCCAGTCTTAAGTACTTTTTGTTTGTTTGTTTGTTTGTTTTGGAGACTGAGTTTTGCTGTTGTTGCCCAAGCTGGAGTGCAATGTTATAATCTCGGCTCACTACAACCTCAGCCTCCCGGGTTCAAGCGATTTTCCTGCCTCAGCCTTCCAAGTAGCTAGAATTACAAGTGCCCACCACCATGTCCAGCTATTTTTTTTTTTTTTTTGTATTTTTAGTAGAGACAGGGTTTCATCATGTTGGCCAGGCTGGTCTCAAACTCCTGACCTCAGGTGATCCACCCACCTTGGCATCCCAAAGTGCTGGGATTACAGGTGTGAGCCACCACGTCTGGCCCCAGGTATTTCTTTATACCAGTGCAAAATGGACTAACGCATGGCAGGTGTCCAGTCTTGCCTACTAGTGCTGTGCCTAAGCCTTGATGTGATGCCCACATCAAGGCTTAGGCACAGCACTAGTAGGGGAAACTGATGTTGATTTTTTTATTAAATTGAGGTGAAATTCACATACAATTAACTATTATAAAGCATACAATTCAGTGGCAATTAGTATATTCCAAGTATTATGCAACTACCACATTTCTAGTCACAAAACGTTTTCATCACCCCAGCAAAAACACTTCATAACCATTAAAGGCTGGGTATGGTAGCTCACACCTGTAATCCCAGCAGTTTGGGAGGACGAGGTGGGGCAAATCACCTGAGGTCAGGAGTACAAGACCAGCCTGGCCAACGTGGTGACATCCCATCTCTACTAAAAATATAAAAATTAGCCAGGTGTGGTGGTGCACACCTGTAATCTCAGCTACTCAGGAGGCTGAGGCAGGAGAATTGCGTGAAACCAGGAGGTGGATGTTGCAGTGAGCCGCAATTGAGCCACTGCACTCCAGCCTGGGCAGAGTGAAACTCCGTCTCATAAAAACAAAACAAAACAAAACAAAACAAAACAAAACACTCTGTAACATTTAAAAAGTAATCATTACCCATTCTACCTAATTACTAATTTGCTATGATTTACCTATTCCAGATATATCATATAAAAACAATCATACAGACCAGGAATGGTGGCTCATGCCTATGATCCGGGCACTTTGGGAAGCCAAGTTGGAGAGGATCACTTGAGGCCATGAGTTTGAGACTAGCCTTGGCAACAATATTGAGAACTTGTCCCTACAAAAAATAAAAATATAAAGAATCATACAATAAGTGATGTTTTTTGTCTGGCTTCTTCCACTTAGCATAATGTTTTTGAGGTTCATCCAAATTGTAGCAGGTATCAGTATTTTTTTTTTTTTTTTTTTTTGAAGAAGGGGTTTTCCTCTTTTTTCCCAGGCTAGAGTGCAATGGCGCGATCTCGGCTCACTGCAACCTCCGCCTCCTGGGTTCAGGCAATTCTCCTGCCTCAGCCTCCTGAGTAGCTGGGATTACAGGCACGCACCACCATGCCCAGCTAATGTTTTGTATTTTTAGTAGAGACGGGGTTTCACCATGTTGACCAGGATGGTCTCGATCTCTTGACCTCGTGATCCACCCACCTCGGCCTCCCAAAGTGCTGGGATTACAGGCTTGAGCCACCGCGCCCGGCCTTTTTTTTTTTTTTTTTTTTGAGACAGAGTTTCACTCTTGTTGCCCAGGCTGGAGTGCAATGGTGCGATCTCGGTTCACTGCAACCTCCACCTTTTGGGTTCAAGTGATTCTCCTGCCTCAGCCTCCCAAGTAGCTGGGACTACAGGAATGTGCCACCATGCTTGGCTAATTTTGTATTTTTAGTAGAGACGGGATTTCACCATGTTGATCAGGCTGGTCTCGAACTCCTGACCTCAGTCTCCCAAAGTGCTGGCATTACAGGCATGAGCCACTGCGCCCGTCCAGGTATCAGTAGTTTTTATGGTTGAATGATATTCCATTGGATGGCTATACCATAATTTGCTTATCTATCTGTTCACTGATGGGCATTTGAGTCATTTCCACCTTTCAACTATTATGAATAACGCTTCTATAAACATTTTTGTACAAGTTTCTATGTGGAACTGTGTTTTCATTTCTCTTGGGTTTTGGAGTTGAATTCCTCCTTCATAATTTTATGTTTAACATTTTGAAAACGAACAGCCTGTTTTCCACTGCAGTTAGATGATGCTCCTGTAAAGCCTCAAAGCTTTGGACCTGAGCAGCTCTGCCTTGGGCCTCAGGACTGCGGATGCACATGGCGTATGTTGGGGTTGATTTTCTCATAGAGGCCCACTCTCTTGGAGAATCCTCAGTAACAAGGAAGAAGCAGGACACTGCCCCCAAGTGGCTTTGAGACTTCTGGGCAGGGGAAACTGAGGTCTGCAGGTGGGGCTGGTGGTGGTACAGCTACTCGGGAGCTGAGGTGAGAGGATCCCTTGAGCCTAGAATGTTGAGACTGCAGTGAGCTGTGATCATGTCACTGCACTCCAGCCTGAGCTACAGAGCAAGACCCTGTCAAAAAGAAAGAAGAAAGAAAGAAAGAAGAGATAGAGGAAAAAAGAAAAAGAGAAAGAAGAAAGGAGAGATGAAAAAAAGAGAAAGCAACAAAGATCAAAAGAAGCAAAGAAGGATATTACATAAAAGGATCAATGTAACAAGAAGAGCTAAAGATCCCAAATATATATGCACCCAATACAGAAATACCCAGATATATAAGACTTATAAAGAGACTTGGACCCCCACACAATAATAGTGGGAGACTTACAGATCAATGAGACAGAAAGTTAACATCGATATTCAGGACTTGAACTCAGATCCGGAACAAATAGACTTAATTAACATTCATAGAACTCTCCA